TATACCTTATATATTTACTTTATACTTTATATATTGTACAATATAATATTATATCGTATATTATATGTTATACTTTATATGGTATACAATATAATATTATATATTATATCGTATATGTTATACAACATAATATTGTATATTTATACCTTATATGTTATATGTACATATGCATATATTATTATTATATCTTATATTTCATATATTATACCTATGACTTAGAATCACGTGAGATCAACATGTTTTTATGAGACCTGCGAGATCATTTTTTTACACTTCAAACTTCACAGCAAAACGTTGTGAAAGTTCGGCTTCTTTTTTCACCTTTAGTGTCTTGCTATGAAATTTCAAATATAAAAAATGAACTTACGGGTCTCATAAAAACAAACTGATCTTACATAAATCCAACTTTTATACCTATATATAATAAACACAGCTACTACTTAGCAATCAATCATCTTCTTCCACCAATGCAATCCTCCCCTGAATCACTTACTCCCTTCACTATTGTAAGGAACACCCCCATACACACACCAAACCTTTCTTCTCCATTATATTTTAAAATGATTGTTTGTTTACTTTTTAATAGTTTTATTAAAAAGTAATATCTGAATTATTAAGAGGTGAATGTTGTTTGACAAAAAAAGTCTGCATTATAATGATTCTAAAACTCTCTGAACAATTTTGTATTCTAAGTTTCCCTTAACCATTCAGCATCCTAATTTTACTCTTAACAATTAACAATTAACAAACAATTATCTTTCATTTTGCATTATATAATAAGAGTCTCTTAATCATTCTAACTACTTAATTATTATGTACCAAATCATTCAGCAACCGTATTTTTCTAGTGATTTTAACTGTTCTTTTTTTAATTTTTGATTTATTTGCTTGGTTTTCTTACATTTTGGTTTGGGTTTTCTCACATTTGGCACTTTATTTAATATAACAAAATAGAAAAAAAATAAAAAAGAGCAAAAATGCTTTAACKGCCCTCAACTAACATCCGTTAGCGATAAAGACGAAAAAAGGGAAATAAGAGAAAACTAGGGACAAAAATCGTAATTTCAATCAAACTCTAGGGACTAAAACCGTAATTTACTCGATATCTKAAAAAAAATTCTACCTACAAATTGGGCTCACGTTAGGCGATTTGCGTAACTTTGGCGCAAGTTAGCACAGCCAACTCCTCTTTACGACAATATTCCGTAATTCATTCATTGACGAACGTAGTAACAAATCAATCATATATCTCTCAAATCGCTTCTTTCAACTCAATCCACTGACTGACATCTTACAGTCATCGTGATCAATCAAYATTTGCTTACAGAAATCTTCTCTCGATGTTTAGCGTTGAATCACTAACGTTTTCCCCACCTATATCGTCGATAGTTGAAGGTAATTTGTTCGCGTTTTTTTTTTATTCGAAGTTCGACCATCTTCTTGTTGATACGTTCTGTAAATTGCATCAGTTGTATGTTTGTTTCTTGGTTTTGGGCAGAAATCTAGGGTTTATATGGTTAAATTATCAAAAATCGCAAGATAATACTGTTTAAAACTGTATTTGTTTATAATGTTGTGTTCTATGTTCTTCCCTCTCAGTTCTGGCTCACGAAATGTAGCAATGAGGCCTGCAAGTGAGGATGAACCATGCACGAAGAAACCGGTGAGCAAAATTTTCGAAGTTTGTTTTTCTTACGGCTGCCATGAATGGCTTTTTTTTTTCCCACACGAGATATGACGTACGGTTGAAATGTGYTCTTTTGACGTTAATACTCCTGGTTTAAATTTGTATCACTATCTCATATATAGTCGCGTAAAAGGTTCAATTGATAGTTGAATTCTGTTTTGGCTTGCAAGATAAGTTCTTGCACTAGGAAATTTACATAAATAGCCAAAACTCATAGGTGATTTCACTTTTTAGGCATATTCTAATCCAAATTCATTTTTTAGCCAATCCTTATGCATAAGGCTTAGGTGCCGTTTATCAAACGCTTACCCGGGTAAGCGCTTATCAAGTCACTTTACTTTACCGGAAGAATATGACAAGGACTAAAAATCTTACCCGGTAAGAGCGTAGGCAAGAATCGAGAGTCTTCCCGGTAAGTGAGGACGAGGACTCTTACCATGGTTAGCGCTTACCGGGATAAATTGTTGCATACGATGCGTTTTAGTGAATAAAATCTTATCCGGTAAGTAAGCGATAGTGTTGAATTTTTCCGGTAAGTGCTTACCGGGTAAGTGTTTAGGTAAACGGCCCTATATGCGTAAGGATTGGTTTTCYGCAAAAAGTAAAACAAAAAAGAATGAACGCGAATTCAATCCTATAGTCGTCTTCTTTGTTCGAGAAATGCGCAGTGGTGAGGGATGCTAGTCGGCTAAGAGAAGTTGTAGGCCCCATTAAAAAAGATCAAGAGTGATTCCTCACCTATCATGTCAGGGCCTAGTTGAATGCTCGAGTAAAGATTCCCTATGCTCATCGGGCGGGGCCGCCCCCCTAGATCTGGATCCATCCATAGACCTAACTTGATATCATTTGTCCAAAAAGAATTTGGGTCAGAAAATGGCTAAAAAGTGAAACCTGATTGGCTATTTMTGTCAATTTCCCTCTTGCACTTTAACTGCTCCATCCCATGGTTATGAATTTTCTATAATTATGTTATGCTCAACAGATCACTTCATTTTATTTGTTTTTTTATCTTAAGATTCTACCGCAACTTTAAAATTAAAAGGAGCTAGCCAGTATATGGTAATGCAAGATTCTGAGATCAGACCTTGTCATCCTGATAGAGTCTTGAAAGCACTTGTGAAATTGAATTATTGAGTATAATTAGCGATGGGCGTGACTGAAWTAAAACAGTAAAAGGGGAAAAGAAGGAAATCAGTAAAATTTGGAACAAAATAAAAGCATAAACTGAGGAACACCCTTGGTAAGCTTTTATCAGGACGGTATGCACATGTACATACTAGTAATTTTAAGCAATTTGTCTGGTATGTACATGTGCATAACATGCWCACATGCATAAAAACTAAAAAAACAGCTTCAATTACTCATATGCACATGTGCATACCATCCAGATGAATGATTAYCATGGTATTACTCAGTTTTTCATTTTTTTGGGGGTTCCCCCTGAACCTCCCTCTCTCTACATATTTGTTTATGTTGGTGTACAGATTAAGTATTGTCTCATTCTCAAGCATGCCTTCTTTTTATGATATGTAAACTTTAGTCTTGGGACCGCCTTAAAGCTTAAACTGTTATAACCAGTGGAATTGTATGAACAAAACCCTCTAATTGATTAGCATAGTCTTTTGATATGTATAAGTCATTGTATTGTTGGCCATCTTCAATTTACGAAAAGTTTCTCAGACAGTTTTAAAGTTGCCTATGTCGTAAGCTCTGCCAGTGGCTGAAGTTTTCTCACGTTCCAGCCTCCTTACTTGTATTCTCTCTCCATACAAAGAGAAAGAGAGATACATACACATACATATGCTGATATCCATAMTTTGATTCAACCTAACTTTTTGATGTTCACATCTTTTCATATTTGGAGTGCTTTGGTATGCAGGCTATAGATTTGGTTTCAGCTGTCACCGAGTTACATGCATTAAGTTCTCCGGATCTTAGCAAGCTAATCCGGGATGCTGAAAATGGTACCATTCGATGGACTAAAGTCGATGGTTCATCTTTTGAGGTTGGTAGATATTAGAATCAATCATTTATTTACTCATTGAAGTTTTCACATCAGATATTGCTTGCTGATTGTCTCTTGGTCAATGTGATAAACCTTGATGTTGCAGATAAATTTGGAAAGTCTAGCAAGATATCTTGCTTTGCACTTGATTGCCAAACTTTTATCAGGTAAAGTAGACCAGCAACATTTCAGATACTTATTAGGCGGGGTACGATTATTGCATGCTTTGTGTGATCTTGCATATCGCTATCCAAAACTTGAGCAGGTTAGTTAATTTCTTCTTTTCTYTATCTTTCTTTCCCCTTGGGATTCACACATCTATGAGTKGAAGAGGTTGTATTTGCTATAACTGCACATCTGAATTCATGTGTGAAAGAAGTGTTCCCTAGCAAAAAGAGAGAAAAGAAAAGGAAGTGTGAGTAGGAAAAGAAAATGGAAAAGAGACTCACACTAGAAGCCAACAAATATTCTAAAATCAGCAACTTGTTATCTCTGTTAAGGCAGGACTCTTCACTATTCCTCTAGAGTTGGCACTCAATCAATTTGAWGAAATGAGAGCAATTCCCAATAGAAAGTGGACATGTCATGCATTCTTAATTGTTGGTTTTGTATTCGTGTTGTGATATGTCCAAAATATATATAAAAAAAAAGAATGATTACAAGAGCAAATAGTAACCMCCATTACAAAATAATAGCTGATTTACCTTTGTCATTAACCCCAAGCATCTTCCACAATTTGGAATATTAAGGCATTAGCTAAGGCTCGGTCCATCCAAAATAACTTTCTCWTTCCCCAGTATCTGAAGTCTACTTGCTGGTTCTTGCTGTTCCAGACTGTTCTATGACATTTTCATACTGCTAACTATTTGCARCTTCCATGAATTTTGTATTTTTCTAACCTTTGTTATCATTATTTTTCTTTCTTTCTTTTTCTGTGATGAACATAATTACAAACAGACCAATAAATTTCAAAAGGTAGATTCTTTAAGAAATAAGGTTGCATGCCTGTTCTTCTTGATTGTATTTGTTTGGGCAGTTGGATTACATGGCGAAGAAATGCTTTACGGGTAATTATCCAAGAATTTCACTTATTCCTCACATAGGCCAGGCCTGCACATAGAGTGAATCTGTGAAATATTGCACTAAACCTGGAAAATTAAATGYTATTGCTTTCTGTGAAGGTTCGTTAGACTTTAAGCAGTTGAGTATGGTTAAAAGTAATTCTGGAGATACGTTTCTTTATTTGAATATTAACATGTTTCCTATGCTGAATGAGTCCTAATCCTTATGTTGTCTTTAGTTGTGCCAGAAGCATCAAATTTAGATTTGCTTAGTTATCTCTGCTCACAAATGCAATTTCTCTCTTGAATGAYGCCTTTTTAGTATTTTGATGAATCAGCAATAGGGCATTGCATCTGCATGCATACAGCAACAATGAATATGAAAATGACAACAATCCTTTTACTTAAATTAGTTGGGGTAAGCTAGAAATGGAACCCRTTAAAAATTAGTTAATGATGTAGTCAAGGCTCTGGAGCAGGAATAACATCTTTCCATGCAATCTCATAAAGCAGAGCCGTGGATGCATGGCTGCTATTTTTTTTCTTAATTTTGCTTCCAAAATGCTCTTTATCATGGAGATTTTTGGTAAAAGAAATTCTGTTGTGTTAGATGATGCATGTTTTTTGCTCTCCTTGATGGGGTTCCGTTTTTCAAGATGCTTCATGTGATCCTTTTTCTCTTCGTTCTTGAACACATGTTTTGTTAACGGGAGAGCGAAAACTTCTGTAAATGTTCTGTAACGAGTGCAAGTTGTACTTTTATCTTCTGCATTCCATTAACTGATTTTTCCTGCCGCAGGTCTTGCTTGATGATGTAAATATATCAGAACAGATGCTTGATTTGATATTTTACATGATTATTTTTCTTAGTGGCTTTAGACAGGTTAATTCTATCCTTCACACATTATACTTTAGTACATTATTTTCCTCTATTWTGTAGCACTGAAACACAATTTTGGTGATGCAGAAAATTCATGCTTCAAGTCATATGGTCCTTTTGCATTCAACATTATTGGCTAGCAGCTTGTATCTGTTAAGAATWTGTATTTCTTCAAAGTGGCATGAGCTTAGTCATGTTCTGCTTGCACACCCTAAGGTGACATCTTTTTAACTTTTATAATCCACAAATTACTAGTCAATGATTTGATGTTTCTCTTACAACCCATTTCATATTTTATTTCAGAGTAGTTTTAGAGGCGTTCGGTTTGATGGAGTGGTTTTAAGGGATTTGGATTTCGTGGAAGGATTTGAAATTAGAGGGATTTGGATTTGGAAGGATTTGAAATTTTTGGTGTGTTTGGTTTGTAGGCCTTTGAATGGAATTGAATTCCATTATTTGTAAAAAAATTATGAAAATAATTTATAAATAATTAAATTACTTTTTTTATCAACTGATTATTACAAAACATATTTTAAATTATTCTTACATACAAATCCTACGAAATCCCGTGAAATACCAACCACCCCCATGGGATTTCAAAATYCTATATTTGTGGTATTTCAACGAAATCCCAGGATTTCAAATCCAGGAATTCCTTCAAACCAAACATGGGTTTGAAATGGAATTCAATTCCAAATCCCTCCAAAATCCAATCCAATYCYGCAAACCAAATGGTACCTTAGTTTCTGTGTATTGAAATCCTTTATTGATGGGAATGTGGCTGGTGATAYATATTTGGCAGGTTGATGTATTTACCAGAGTAGCTTTTCCTGCTCTGCGTGCGGTTATACATTKTCTTCAAGTGAAGCTGTCAGCTCAACATACTGACACTCATGTGATGCCCAATGTTGATGAAGTCCACCGTCTCTGTCAGCACTGTGAGGCTTCTCTACAGTTTTTTCATTCACTTTGCCAGGAAAAGTTGTTTCAGGAACGCCTGGTCCAGAATAAGGTTTTACTCAATWTAAATCCTTCTATGCATCTTYGAATTACTCACAATGTGCCAATAATATCCTTTTATGGCAACAAGGTTTAGGCAAGATTAAATGAAAGTTGTGTATCCCCACGTAACACCCCTCACGACAAAAAAAGTATAATTTGGTGTTGGGACATCTCCATGTGGAGCAAAGTTGGTTGGTTGGTTAGAGTTATTCTATTGTTTATACATTGCAAGTTATAGCTAAAATTGMAATCTGTATCTTTAAGATTAAGTCCCAATGGTCATTCAAGCCAAATTAGAAGACAGGTTACATTGACCCCTCTTTCTATTTTTAGATTACTCTTTTAGGTAACAAGTAAAAAGGCAATTTGGTTTTCTGGTTTGCGTAAGTTATATCTTGCTATTTGCATGGAAGATCTATCTACTTATCTACTAAGACTTGCACACGATGCTTCAATATTCTTCGAGAACATTCTATCAGTCATTTTTCACTGATCGTATATGCYTCATGTTCTTCAGAAACGTTCTACTTGTCATTTTTCATTATTGTATATGCTTCATGTTCTCCAAAATATTCTTTCTTCTTTATTAAAAATAATCTGTGATGGGAAATTGTCTAGATGTTACTATTATTGTCTTTTATCTTTTCGACGTATGTCACACCATCAGGACTAAACTCACATGTTTAGATAGGTACTCCTTGAGTTACGGTAAGCATGTGGTGCAGTACAGTACTCACTATGTTGTTCTACAGGACCTATGTGAAGAAGGCGGTGCTCTTCTTCTGGTTCAGGATATCATGGAACTGCCTCCATGTGACGACTCCCATCTTATGGCTGGGGTTTCTAGGCTTAAATCAAAAGTTTTATCTATTGTAAGTTCTCGTTGTAGACCATAATCTGTTGTAGACATTATATGAGGCGGTTYACTGCAGAGTTTATAGCACATTTTCTTGGTTTCATTTATAGCTTTAACTCCTCTTTCTCCAGATGCTGCATCTTTGTGAAACTGAAGTGGAAAGGGGCTCTTTCTTGGATTTGGCTGCCAGCACCACTCTAGGCTTGGATTTAGCCAAGTCTATTGTATTCCAGGTTTATTTTCAAACCTTGTGAAAATTTAAGTTTATTTTAAGACATTATAGCCAATTTAGTGGGCACTCTGCTTATATTCCTATCTTTGGCTACCTAATACAACCTTTTTTTAATCATCTAAGCCTCCACTTATAAGGTTTTATTGATGAAATTAACAGTGAAGGGTTCTATCCGGAGAATAAAATTTTGATATGGGGTATAGGAAATAGGAAAGAGAAAATCAGAACAGGTTAAAAGAGAGAATAAAAAAAAAAGAAAAAAGAAAACCATTCATCAGTTTCATATCTTAGCATGGTAATCCCCGTTATATCTATAACCCCCTATATACCAAAAATGTTGCGTTAACTATAAATTGGCACATATGAAGTGCTCTAGATGTTAATCRTTGACTTARGATGTTTGGTTGGTTTTTCATTAAGTCATGTATGGATAAAGYTGTCTGTGTGGATTAATCCATCTGTGTAGATTGGGAAGGTTATTGTTTTGGAGGGGGTTTTCATAGATGAAAGGACRTGTTTTTTAATTGGGATGGGCAGGTCTGTAGAACACTTGGCTTTCTTCATAAAGCTCCCCCCAAGAAGCTTACTGAATAARCTACTTTCTATATCATTAAGCCACTACCAAACAGTCATGTATAGCTGACCGAATAAGTTGTGWGTCCCATTAAGCTCATTAAGCCGCTAAYGAGTAGGCCCTTAGTTGTTGGAATATTCTTTCTTTGCATAAKATGAATATGCTTGCTTTTGTAAGGCATTCTAGCATAGTATAATCCTAGCAAGTCAGTATACCCAACTTAATTCATGCAACATTTTTCTATTCTGTATTTGAGGAAGCCAATGTTTGTTTTCATGTAGCTTGTTGTTGAATTGATCAATGGATAGTAACCTTGTAACTGCAGACATAACTTGTTCCTGCATTGTACATACCATGTTACTTACAAACTCTTTATGTTGCAATTGCATAATGTAGGTCCTTCAGGTGCTAAAGATCGTGTTTTGTGGAGATCCCAGAAGTCCCTCTGATTGCTCTTTCAAAGGCCATCCAAGGGGACTTTTGCAACTCAATGCAATGCGACTAATAGAGATATTCTCGGATGATTCTAATTTCCGATGTTACATATTGTTGAACTTTGTAAGCTTTTGAAAACTGCATTTATTTTATTGTGATTCTTTAAGATTGATATGSTTACTCTCATTTTACCCCATGTCTCATGATCTCAATTGGGTACTTAAAATGTCCAATGCCTGAGAAAAACATATAAAACTATATTATACCATGATATATGGGTGTGTTTACTGCATGATTACTGTAAAACATGTAAAACTATCTTAGGGGCTGTTTGGTTGGTTTCCCATCAAGTCCTGTATGGATAAAGYTGTCTGTGTGGATTAATCTTTCCGTATAGATTGAGAATGATATAGTTTGGGAGGGTTTTTTCATAGATGGAAGRAGMGCGTTTCTTAATTGGAAGGGGCAGGTTTGGAAAAAAGAAACTTGRCTTTCTACATAACRCTCCCCCCAKAAGCTTACGGAATAAGCCACTTTCTATATCATGAAGCCATTACCAAACAATCATGTATGACTGCCGAATAAGCTATGAATCCCATTAAGCACATTAAGCTGCTAACAATCAGKCCCTTAGCCTTTCATGCCTACTAGTTTTTCTACTTGTGTCACGTCTTCTGAGTTTCTGTGTTTCCTTGTTGTTTAACGTATCTCCCTCTCAATATGTCTCTGATTGCATTTTCTGTTTACTGTGCCCGTTTCTTGCTTGCACACTCTCTCATACGYAATGTTTGTTTTAGTTTCTTGTAAATCGGGGGTCTTCACATAAACAGCCTCTCTACCGCAATAGGCAAGGTCTACGTGCATCCTACCCCCACCCCCACCCACACACACATCCCACCTCTACTTGGGATATAATGGGTCCGTTTAGTTTGGTTTATATATGGATGTGTTTGATTATCAATGTCTAACCAATACTAATGCATGTTCGTTTGTTGAATTTCTTTTTTTTTTGCTCCATGTAGACAGAGTTTTTGACCACAATATTTTCGCTACCACATGGAGAATTCTTCTCTAGTTGGTGTTCTTCTGCTCTTGAACCTTCTGAAGAGGATGTTACAATGGAATATGATTCCTTGTCAGCAGCTAGACAGACTTTGGGGGTAGTCTCAACATTTCATGTACGATCTGCTGTCAGTACCYGTCATGCTCCTCAGACGCCCTATGCACGTCAAAAAACAACTTTATTAATAAAAATTGTAGCTAACCTCACCTGTTTCATTCCCGATATCTGTAAAGGTGAATAATTTAGTTTTACCCCATTGTTTGTCTCTGCAAAACTTCAAAATATTAATTGGTGTCATACAYGTATATATGTTACTTGTTTGCCTAACTATTGCTTTCAGTTTTGAAGTTTGAGATCACCTGTTAGCATGTCCTTGACTAAAATCTCTGTTTTGATCCTCAGAGGAGGAGGGTCTTTTCGTCAATAAGTTTATCCAGTGCTTGCAAAAGGAACTTCCACAGATGGGTGGTGCTGAGAGATCAGCTGCCGCCTGCCGAAACCTGCGTATCTATCAATTTCAATAGTCCTTTTGTTGATAAAGAAACGACGTCTTTTTCTAATGGCAAATTATTTCTATGTTGCAGATTCTTTATTGCTTCACGCGGAATCTTTGCGTGAATACCTTAATGAAGATGATCTGCAGCTTCTTAGGTAATTGCTTTCAAGTCCTGAAGTCACCTTTGAATTGTGAATGTCTTCCTTGGCAAGTGGCTYTGTTGTGCTTGCCTCTACATTGCTCAGCTTTTTGGCTTTTGTTTTTGTCTCGACTCTCGACTAAACGAGCACACACCCATTGGCGGATCCCGTAAAAAAAATTAAGCTGGGCCATAAAATAATTAGCATAATATAAAATAGGGTCAGGGGAAAATAATAAAAATAAAAAACTCAACCAG